GTGTAATTATTTCACTTTGTTTATACTTGGACCTTATACCATCCACTTACACTGAGGGGCACTAACAGAAGCAGCCCTATGAAACTCATTGCTGTGTCTATTATAAGGATGTCGTTCTTTGTATTAATAAAATGTCTCCTTTAGGAGGAACCACAGACATTGAGCTTCTCCCAGGAACAATTTTTTCCTCATGGACACATGGATCTTATAACTTACTACGTCCCCTTCTGGAAAACTTCGAAATAGTAAATCTAAGACCTAGACCTGTTATCAGAAATATGCTGGGAACATTTTATATTTTAACTCTCATCTGATTTTATCTTATCTTTTTAAATTTTATTTTTTCATCCACTTATTAAACAATTTTTTCTCCCATTGAAAAGACAGTTTTTATAAATCACCTTGAATCATTTCTTTATAAGTAGGATTTCAATAAATACACACTGCAGAGAACAGTAAGAGAATAAGACTTAAGTATACCTGGACTCGTCTCCCTTCCCCCTGTACCTTTAGTCTCTTTATAGCCGTTCCTTCAAAGGGAGAATTTAGGACGCTACTTAAAAGGAGAATACCTTGGGTTCCACTGAGAAATAATAATGTCAACTGTTATAAAGTTCCAAACTGCGTGTTAAAATGAATGTAAACTTCCTACTATATAATTACCTACATAAGAGATTTTTGGCTCACTATCCAAACACGTTATTATTTATATTCAGTAAATATTTATGACTAGAGGCCCAGTGCATGAAATTTGTGCATGGGTAGGGTCCCGAGGCCTGGCCAGTGATCAGGGCCGATTGGGGCCTTCTGGCTGCTGGGCCAGGGCCTTCCTTTGTTCCACGCTGCCCCCTGGTGGTCAGTGCATGTCATAGTGAGCGATGGTCGAACTCCTGAGGGGACACTTTACATATTAGCCTTTCATATATATAGGTAGTTTTAATTGCTTCACCACTAACTTGCACCTTAAACTCTTCCTACTAGGATTTCATCCTTTAAAAAAGTATCTAAAGACTATCAATGTCCTCTAGTTGACAAATCTAATAGTTTTTACATTATTATTCTTTCTTTATATTTTAATTTTAACAACACCTCTATCAACCATTTCCTCCATCTTGAAACTCTCTTTACATTTGATTTCCCCCCCGCTAGGACACAAACATTCATTCTTGCATTTAAAACATTAATTTGAGGGGCCACTATATGCTAAGGACCATGACTGATGCAAATTCTTTATCCGCCTTATCCTTTCATGTTCTATTTAGTGTCACTCATCAAACCCAAACTGTAAATAGTAATATTTCCCAGAGTTTGTTCCCCAGTTCTCTTCTTTCTGCTTCTGCATCTTTCCCCTGGGGGGATCTGCTCACTGGTGACTTGCCATCTGCATCTGTAGCAGGAATCCTAGATCCCCACACTCACACACCCTGTGCCGATTTAACTCAGAAATTGTCCTTTCTTTGCTTGAACCAGTTGCTGCTTGTGACCTCTCTCATTGCTCTCAAAATTCTCACAGTGCCCAGGGCTTGGTACCTCAGTCTGTATACTTTGTGTTTTGCATCACTTCTAATCAGTTGTGAAATACCTTTTCTTCTGAAATACACTTCACTTTCTATTCTCCAGACTTGATCTTGGCTCTGTCCCCTCTCCCCTCACACCTAGAGTATCGCCACAGCCTAATCAGGCACCCAGCCTTTCAAGGTGTCTTTCTGTTCCCTTTACCAATTCATCTCACACACCATTTGCCAGATAATCTTTAAAAAGCATTGCTATTCCTGTATCACTCGGTTACTCAAAACCCTTCCATGGCCTCCTCTATAGTTTATGTAAAAAGTTCTATTTACTTTTATAGTTGAAATGTCTAAACATTTTTTTTAGTATTTTGAGAAAACTGCTAGGCAAGTAGAGAATACAAAGAAAGGGAAAAGTAATGTTCATATCTTCAATTCAAATTGTTGTTTGATAAGCGATGACAATGGGTAAAATTTCCGTCTGAGGCTCATTTTTGTAAGCTGCTCCTGGAAACAAGGCAAAAGGCCCATGTGAGTGCCATTTAATTGTGGAAATTGTATCCACGGCGGGAGAAAGAGGCGTTGCAGCCCCTTCAGAGACCCATAAGGCAGGGAAGGTAGGGTTCCGGCCACAGCCTTGCAGCTCTGCTCCCTTTTTGTCAGAGACAGTGTATCCCATTTAGGCTGCTCATGTGCCATTCCGTGCTTCTTCTTAGAGCCTATTCGGTAATGATAAAGCCCCTGTCGTCCCATTCTCTATGCCACATGCAATTAAGTTCAGGCTTCCCTTTAGACAGTTCACAGCAGCAGATGACCAGCTAGATGGGATCCAGCTAGAAAAACTCCCAGTTCTGGATGCAATAAAGGAAATGAGAAAGAAGGAAAATGGAGAAAAATAATCCAAATTTCCCATCAATGTCTTAAAGGAACATTCATATCTCCTAATGTTCTCAGAGTCTCCTCTGCAAGAAGTTGTCTCTCACATCATGTGAGGATAGAAGGGTCTTTAGTGAGCAGCAGAAACTGGTCCAGCGCGCACTAGAATAAGAAGGCTGTGGCTTTTGTACTGGTGAGATGGAGGACTGACGGCATGTGAGAGCGAGCCGAGAGCTTTGTGGTAAAATAACCCGTGTGTGAATCCTGCTTTCTCTCAACCCTTAACTGTGAAACCTTGGTTACGTGACTTCACTTCCCCGAGCTTAGATTTTCCCTCTTTTAAGTGGAGCTCATCACAACTTGCAGAGTAGTAGAGAGGAATAAATAAAATTAGAAGGATGCTGAATAGCGTGGCTGGTGTAGCTCAGTGGTTGAGCATCAACCCATGAACCAGGAGGTCACGGTTTGATTCCTGTTCAGGCGCATGACTAGGCTGCAGGCTTGATCCCCAGTAGGGGGTGTGCATTGATGTTTCTATCTCCCTCCCTCTCTCTGAAACCAACAAAAACATATATTTTTTTTAAAAAAAGTATGCTGAATAAATGGTAGCTATGTTTTATATCCTAAAACACATTCATGTCATTGTGTTTTCACAAGAGCAAACCCGTCTGATTCACAACAGAAAGAGAGGAACTTTCTCATTTATTGGAGACAGTTATCTTTTTGTGTTTGTTCCTTGTTTCATGGTCTCTTGTGCCTATTTTTTTTTTTTTAAGATCTTGAGGTTTCTCTGGCTTCATTTTGACAAACAGAGCTTCTTTGATCTACACCAAATTCAATAGAATAATCCCCTCTGCATGTAACTTCAGGTGGTAGGCATGGCAAGGAGGGATTTTGTTTCCTTTTCTTTAAAGTCAAAGGCAGAGGAACCTAAAAGCAGAAGTTTGTCACTTTATCAATTTTCTGTGTTCTCTCTCTTTCATCTGAAAGGTACAATTATCCTGGTCAGATGCCGACTAAACTATGGGAAGGGAAACCGTGGGCGGCAGGTGAGAGCACACGTCTTTCAGCTTCAGCGGGCCTCCTCTGGCTGGATCTTCAGCTAAAGATAATGCTGACCAGATGGAAAATAAGAGCCTGTGAATACCTCCATGCTCCTTGGGATAAAACACCAGCCAGTACTCATTTTTGTTTAAACAAAATATCTATGTTGGCATGGCCTTGAGAGATGGCAGTACTTAGCACTAACCTTGACTCTGAACATGAGAAAGGAGAAAAACAAAGCAACAAAGGGATATTGGAGTTTGCTAATCTTCATTTCTGCTGCTGCAAGAGAAGGCCTCGGAGGGCCCATGAATGTTACTTTGCATTGGAGAATGAAAAAAATGAATATTTGATGTGAGTAAATATACGTCTTTTAGTGATTTTCTGTTGCTCAAATTTAAGGCATGAATAATGCTCAAGGAATTTTATTATTTTCTGAGGCTAGTGTTTATGTAGGTGAAAGCACACCACCTGGGGAAAAATGTTCTGGGTCCTACAGATTATAAATATCAGTATCTCCACCTGCGAGCATGATAAAAGAGCTTTTCGGCTACTGAAGAAGAAGACGACTAAAAATGGATGTTTTTCTGAGGATGACAGAGGGGAAGAAGAAAGGTATAATGTGTTATAATGATAACCCAAATCCACATTTGTCACTAATGCTTTGTATTCTGAGCTCAGGACTAAAGAGCTGATGCCTTTTCCCTTGGGAAAAACAGCAGAAATTACATGTAAGGATCATTATTTCAACAACGTCTTTTATTTTAAGATGTATGTACTCTGGAAGCATACATCAGTCAGGCCTCTAAAGCACTATTGAATGCATGCACTTTAGGTGGGAACTAAGCAAGAAATACCAGAATTCGTTAGAGGCCAGACTGAAAATTAAATTTACGACTTCTAAACTCCTCTTGCTATTTTCACTTAAAATAGCTGCATCTTTATGATTATGACATATTCAAAATGGAACCTTTTGGTTCAATCTAGTTTTAATCAACCCTAGCTCCATTTAGAAAGGCCCAGCATAGAATTCATAGGAGGTAAATGTAAGAAGGAGGTTGATAATACTTAAGTTAGAAAGAGTCACAAAAAGTAGAATCTATAGGTGAGAAGAGAGAGAGAGGCTGAAGTGGGGGTAGCAGTCACAGGTTTGAGTTTGTCTAATTCTTTGTGACCTTTAATTCAATGATGGAAAAAGGTTGGATTCTTGAGCCAGGCCACATGAGCCTGATGTCTCTGTGTCTACCCACGCGTCTCTCTGATCAACCTATGGGTCGTGTCTCTCTGGATCATGTTTATGGCCATTTTCACAGCTAATATGGCCACAAGTCTACTTGGGAAGAGATCTCTGGTCTTCTGCCCATTCTCGAGATCCTCAAAAGTGTCTGCAGCTTCAAAGATAAAGAGCAGTCAACATTCACAGTTATACATCTTGGGAGACAAGGGCCTGCCAGAAGCAGGGCACTCAAGACGCAATGTTTTGGGTTTATTATTATGTCCATTGTACAATTCCCTTTCAACTCAGACATGATTGATAAAGTCAAGTGCACCCGAAAGGAAAAACATAGTTACCTCATACTTTCTTTCCTGTGTACAGTCACATACATTTCGTAGACTCTCCCTTGGGGAATGGCCCCAGCAGGACTCAGTAAGCTTACTCCTGAAGAGCAAAAGAGGAGAGGAGAAGTCACACAAGACGTATTGAAACAAAGGGAAACTTCACAGAATGCCTTTGAAGCAAGGGAAAGGGAGTGAGGTTTTGTGGTCATGTAGCCATAAGCCTACTTTTTCTCTAAAGACATGCAGATATTCATGGCTGCCTGGCTTTCTTTCCTTATTGTCCTCATTTGTCACCACAGCTCCCTCTGAACTGTTGTAGAATTAAATGCATGATCTAATTTTTAAAACTCTTATTTTATTTAAGGACTAGACAGATGATTCCAGTGTCATTTTCCTGGTAAAAAGAGGGGAAGACCAACAACTGCTCTTAAAATTCCAAACAGCTGTAATGATGCATTGTTTCTAATTAAAAGAAAAATCCCCGCAGGATTCAAAGTCAGGGAAATACTAACTTCGGCAATATGAAGGACATATATTTCTGAAGTATCTGGTTAGCATCAGTGTGATTCCGGGACAGAATAATAATGGATGAAGAACTCCTTTCATCATACGTAACTCCAGAAAGTGAACAGAACCTACTAGTTGTACTCACAACCCATCAAGCAGGCTTTTACTTAGTTGTGAATGAGTGCCATGTTGTAGGACATTGGATTGATCTCTGTTCTAGTTAACTGTCCTATAGCAACGGCCTGCAACTTGAACTTGCATCAGAATCACATGGAAGACTTACTAAAACATGGATTACTGGGTCCTACCCCAGAGTTTCAGATTTGCCAGTACTAACAAAACTTATACATGTTTGCAGCTGTCACAAGTTGCCAGGTGATGCCAGGATTGTTGCCTGTGGACCACCCTGCAAGAACCACTGGCCTGCACCGCTGCAGTATCACCTCAAAGAGGAATTCCTGGTGGGCAGCAACCGGAAGGTACTCAGCTTCATGATTTCATTCCAATAAAGGCAGCTTATTCCAACTCACTAAAAATTTACGGAGCACCACTGTGATACAGTGTTTTGGCATTGTTGTGAATGCCAACAAGTAAAAGATAGGGTTCTTATCTTTGAAAGCCTTATCATTTAACTAGAAAGGAAATGGAATATGCCAAATGAACATAGGGCAATAAGAAAACTTGCCGGACCACACTGGAAAGTTTCAAGAATAAAGGATGGAGAATTAAGGAGAAGTAGGTATTCAGGCCTTTGGAAAACAGGTTGAAAATGTTGAGGCCTGGCTTTCTTGAGAAGGTGAGTAGCGTGGTAGCTGTGCTGCTGTGGGACGTGGAGTGTCACACTGGTGTAGTGAATGGTCTATTGAGGCACAGAGGGGAAGCAGGCAGACTCACATCAGGCTACCGTGCCTCAGAATTGTTCTATTTTCCAATGGGAACAGTAAAATGTACTGTGTATGTGTTATAGGGATGAAATAAAATGATGGATGTAAAATAACAGGAAGGAGGCCTGACATACTTTAGGTAACTATTGTTACGCTATTAAATAAAACAGTGTATGTAAATCACCTTTGCATAGTACATAGAAAGTATTTGACATATGCTAGTTCCCTCCTTTCCACTCGAGAAGCCTTTATAATAATTAATCTGTGAAAAAGTACCAGGTGTAGAAATGGGAAGGAAAGGTAGACTTCAGTGAATATGATTTAAAAAACCATTGTCTTGTGAATAATACAATGTTTAAACAATGAAGAGCTATAAAGTATATGTTTTCCTATCCAGTTGATAGACTATTGAAATATATTTAAAATAATGGTTTCTAATGCACATACAAGAGCATGACACTTAGTGAGAAAAAGGTAAAGAAAGCATTTCATATAATGTATTATCCCAACTATGTAAAATGTATAGAAAAATAATATTTCATCAACTATTTAAATTTCTTAAAATATACTTTTAAAGGTATGGGGTGCAAAATTACCAAGGCATTGAAATGGGAGACTGAATTAGAGAAAGAATCAAAGACACATTCATATTCAGACCCTGAAGACCAATTGGTTCTGTGTATCGGCTGTATGGATGTGGACACATTATATGCTTTTCTTATGTTACATGAAAAACAAATTTTCTTAATGTTGCGTTTTCAAAATACTCAGTCTTGTCCAAAAGAGAGAAGTTTGATTCACAGAGGAATCCATTAACCCTCTTATGACTCCATAGTTCCAAACCTAACACCTCTACCGATCAATGAATGCCAAAGTTTAACAAACACACTATTAGTCATTAACTTAAACTCATAATTTAAGACAGGCCTTTATGAGGCTTAATCTCTCAAAGCAAATGACTCAATAAAAAACTGAAAACTAAATAATACTACCAAAGGACACATGCGGAAGCTGCGTTCTAGATAGCTATACAGGAGCAGAAGGAAGGATCTTCTAACACCTTGAGGCTGAAGACTGCAATAAAGAGTTAATAACTAAAGATTGGATGTCTATTATGATGTCCTCTGATCACCTAGAAATTAGTGCTCTGAAGTATTGCTTCCTCTAGTGATTTGGAACTGAACCAACTGATATGTTTTCTAATTAATTTGTCCTTTTCAACTGCGTTGACAACAGCGAGAGCTTCTAGCTGGATGTGCCTTCTGAAGCTCTGTCAAAAGAAGGACAATGACAGTCCTAAATGACACCTTGGCGGAAAGCTGTGAGCATAATATTTATAGAGGAAGTGTTTCCAGAATTGGTTGCAGGAAGATGGATGGTTTTGCTGATTTTGTCTGAAGGAGTGTAGATTTACATTGAAAGTAGAGTTAGGTTAGATAGGCTACATTGAACTTTTCAGGCTTAACGAAAACAAACAAAAAAAAGATTTGGGTACAAAAAAAATACGTTTTAAAGCTCCATCTTTGTGTTTTAAGCCTTCAGGAATTACCTGAATTGGGAACAATAAGGTGGCCCCCGAGAGAGTTGAAGGTGCCAAATGCGGTGCAGGACGGATCGGACTGCTTTGCCAGACTCTGACTCTTCAGGTTCAGGGCCTCATTCTCCAACAAGGACTGGGTCATCTGAGGGGACAGCTTTGATGCAAATTCAGAGAGGTCGTCCTGGGGCGTGACAGCACCTGACGTGTTGTACACTTTGATTTTCAGGTTAGGCAGTGGGTCCAGAATTGGAGAGTTGGTCATGGGGATTTTGTCCGAGACATCGTGTAAGGCATAGACAGGCCCCCTGTACATGGCTGCAGCTGATGTGAGGTCTGGAGGTACTGCCAGGAGATCTGAAAGAGAAAAGGAATCTAACTTGAATACTTCATTCAGTCAACTTACATTGGTCAGTCTCCCCTGACACGTTGAGTCGAATGCAAAGAAACTCAGCCAATATTGGAGATATGGACTCTACAGTTTTGCTGAAAACAGGGCAATTAGATGACGAGGATCCATTATATGTTTGGCTACAAATAGATAGACAGAGTCTGTATTTTGCCTTGAAGCCTACTCATTGCTCTGAAGGCATTTAACTATTTCAACAGATGAGAATCCTAGACAGTGAGCCCCACTAGGTGACCATAGGTATTAGCCCCCTTGTCTCTACTGGATTTCGGTTCATCTGTAGACCACTGTGCTCATAGCAATACAAGATGCCCTGTCAAAAGAGAAAAAAGGGGATTCCAGAATCAAACAGTCCATATACTTTTTTGTCAACTAAAAGTTAAAAAGTATGACAGAGAAACCTGTTAGAGAGAGAGAAAAAAAAGATCCGTGCACCTTGTCAACTCTAACGTAAGTGAATGAAGTTAATACAGTAATTAACAAAACAGACCAAACCCCTATCTTCATGGAGCTTACGGTCTAGCTAGCTGAACTGGATATTGCACTGATTGTAAAGCCGCACAGGGAGGTTACTTATTTGCATAAGTTGTAGATGTGAAGTTCAATGTCAACTGACCTTGTCTTGCTGCCTTGATGTTCACAGGCTGAAAGCCTCCGTTGAGTGCCGAAGAGTCAATAATATCAGACTCAAAGTCACGGTGATTCTTCCGATACACAAAGAGGGCCACAACCACAGAAATGGCCAGGCAAACAATCACTGCTATGACAATGCCAACATACAGAGCAATGTCATCTGAATCAGGAGCAGCTAGACGGGAGAAGGAAACATTGGCACTGGTTAGGGAAGTTTCCCACAGCAGACATGCGTATTGCTATAATTTTTTCAGACATTTATTGTCTTTTTTTATAGGTTAATTTCAAATCCAATCCAAAAGCTTATATAAAACAACTGTGGCCTTTCAGTGGAAAATTATCCCTGATTTCTTTCCCTTTTCTACTCTGCGTCTATCCACCCACTCATCTGTCTTAAATGGGGGCAGCATAACGGATCATTCATTCCAAGGCATCAAAAGAAACTGGAGCTAAAGCCTTCCTGACCCATAGGAGACAAAAAGATTATTGCAAATTTCAGGTGGAAAGTTTGGAAGGTGGCTGGAATTCACTGATAGTTCTCTAAAAACATAAACACTCTGCTAGAAATATTTGGCATGTTCTGAATCTGTATATTTACTGAACCAGAATACTTTCCTAGAATCCTTCCAAGTCACAAAGTAACTTTCTGTAGGACTCTTCTCACTTTCCCCTAAATCAATGAGTGGGTGGGTGGGGATGGTGTAACTACGCAAAGCAAATATTAGGAGCAAACATGTTGGACCTGAAAGGTGTGCTTTCAGAAGACCCAGATCTGAGGAGCAGAGGTCGCCACGGTAACTCCGGGCTTCTATCCAGACTCAGTATTAGCTCTGAGAACCCTGACCTTCTCACGGTCTCTTGTCAGAGATTACATCTGAGCTACTCATTACTGAATAAAATACAGCTCCACGGTGTACCGAGTAAGATAAAGGCCTGGTTCAGTGATCAGAAAGGTCAGACTAGCCCTGAAGGCAATTAAGCATTTGACCAACACAGTGTGTGGTCAGATGGGGCGGGGCGGCGGGGGGGGGGGTGTTTCTGGGTAAAGAGAGAAGAAAATTCCTGTAAATATTGCATGTTGCCTTGGTGGCATAGAACATGCTTTGATCCAATGGCAAAAGGCGATAAATAAAACAAAAGTAAACTTTTCTTGAATCCTATTGACATCTTTAAATCTGTTTTTAGTTTTCTGGGACCCACAAAGTTTGCAGCAACGTTAACAGAAGCTTCTAGGCTCCCTGTAAAGGAGGTGATTGAACAGGTACTCCAGGTGGTCAACAGCCTTTTTATGCTCAATTTTGTATCTACGTGCATTGGGGGGACTGCAGATTTGTAGGTCCCAGGACCTCCTAAGAGTTGAGGAACCACTGCTCTCTCCTAAGACTCACAGGCAAGTTTTATACAGTGAAGTGACTTCATTCAAATTGCCAGTGGCTCAGGGCACCACCTACACTGTCATGATTTCTCTGAGGCATTGGCAGTACAAAGAAATTGTCTGTTGAAAAATCACTACATCTCTTTTAGAGTTTTGTATTTAAATGCACTGTATGTGAAAGGATTATTATTATTTTTATTTTTAAACCACTGTTTTCCCCAAGTGTCCAGAATATCCGCTTTCCTACCAATCAAGTCAATATGCACAGATCTTTTCAGAAAACCAGTGGCATCCCAACCTTGGTTGTGTGAGCCCTCCTTTCAAAGTGCTGACTTCACTCTGCTGCCGGGCCCTACCTCAGGCCCGCAGCAGGATTCTGAACTCTGGTCAGAAGATGATACCGAAATCCTTAATGTTTTATTTTACCAGGCTGCAATTACTTATTCAACATTCATGATTTCTAACTCAATAGATCTGCATTTTCTCAACCCTTTACTTTTTTTTAGCATTTTCACCCAGCCTTTTATTTACATCAGCATTTTTTACGATATGTTTTGTCAGCTACTGGGCCCACGCTTTGGATGTAGGCTGATAGATTTGAAAGCGGGCAGAGACTCGAAATGACCCTTTCTTCTCTTCCGCGGGTGAAAATCTAATTTGCTTTTCATGTTAGAATATATTAGGCACCTATTTCCTGTGTGCACATCTGGGATCTAAGGAAAGGTAAACTTGAACTGGGGGCGATCACGTTAAAAGATTATTCAGCAACATAAAAACCAAACATCAGACTTACAAGAAAATCCATATTCATTCTGGGTTCTCTGTTCAGTTGAAATAGGATAAATGAAACCTTGAAAAGAAACAAAAAAAATGACACAAAAATAGGAACAAAATCAAATTAATGAGGAACACAAAATGAGAAGCATGAAAAATGGTTAATTAAAAGAAAAGGAAACGAATTCCAGGGTCCTTTAAAATTCGGGCTCAGTGCAGAACTATGCTTTTGCATCTCCTGCCTGCTCTGGAGTCTCAGTAAGAATTAATAAGTAGGCAGATTGAATTTCAGAGCAAAAACTGGTCTCGAGTCACTAACTTTGGAGTGCTTAAAGTCTTTCTTTTATTGAGCATAACTCTAATGGATCTAATTTATTTCAGACATCATGGGTCATTAGCATAAGGCAAATCTTTTTTCCTTATCCCTGCCATATGCTTTAATTCCCAGGACATATTCAGTAAAGCCCTAAACAGTTTTTTTCTTTTTTTATTAAATCATAACAGCTTGCTCTTGGTCTAATAGAACTAAAGGGGACCTGTCGTCATTGGTCAAAGGTTAAGTACCCATTTACTGAGCTGAGCTTCCACCACCTCTCCCTGCTCCATTTCGAAGTCCCTTTTTTGGAATTTTTTGTTGTTGTTTCCTGCCTGCTCCATTTAATGGGAATCCAATAGGTTTCGCCCAGGGACTGGCAGTCTGTCAATGCAATGGAAACTGGAAACTTTTTATTTGAAATCATTCAAAAATCAATAGGGCCTAGAGGTTACAAGGTTATTTATTTCAGGGCTTCAGAGGAACGGGGTAAATCGGGCAAAATGGAAACCTCATCTCACAGTAGAAGCAGAAATAACTAGCAATCTTATTTTTCTTTCTTTTTAGTATATCTCAAGGTAGGAAACAGGAAATAACAGTAGTCATAATAATTAATAAAAATACCAATGTGAAGTAGAAGATTAGTAGAAAAGATTTAAAAACATGAAAGATGAACGTTTTGAAATAAAAAAAATACGGAGATTTAAAAAGTACAACTCATAACTGGCTCCCGCAGTTTTCTAATATTTAATATGCTGCAACATGAGTTAATCAAATGATCTGGCACCGTTTGGATTAATCAAATGGAGATGAATAAGAAGCATTAAACTTTCCTAGCGATACTCAAGGGCAGACATGTAGAGGACCTACAAGAATCACAATTAATTGGTTCAAAATCAAAGGTATCTAATGCTTTAATTCTAAATCGTGCCTCGGGTAGATTTTTTGGTAGTTTGCAGAACACTCAGTTCTTACAAGCTATTTACCTATTTGGGGGAAGTAATTCTGAGAAACATGCAGTGCCACCTTAATGAAAGAGAGCTTTGCTGCAGCACAGACAGGTTTGCTTTGAATTAATATTTAATGCTTTACTTTAGAGCAATGATTGCAACCTCCAACTCAGTTTTATAAATATTATATTCCTTACTCCAGGTGTCTGAGCCCATGTATTAGGTTTGATTTTCATTTTAAAAGCTTCTGCCTGGTAATAACCCTTTTCCATTTGTATTCTGTGAACTCAATAATAGGACATCTGGGACATATACAGGCACTAGAGAAAACGTTATTTATTTCTGAACCCCAAAGACTTAAGATAATACAGGTTCACTGCTGGGAGAGGAGAACAGATCACTAATGTTGTCCTTTTGGTAGGGAAGATGTTAAAGACGGATGCCAAGAGATATGTTTTTGGCTGGTGAGAGGCCCTGGAAATTAGTGTAAGCTAGGACATTTGGGTATGATTTGATGTTCACCGTGAACGTTTTGATAAGAATCGTGAGGGCCTGCTCAGTGCACAGAAGAGCTGGAGCTCATAAAGGGAGAAGCCAACTTCCAGAGAAACAGAGCATGAGCTGAAATCTCTCCCTGTAAAGCCGTTCTGGGTTTTCTTGGCTTTTATGCCTACTTCCCTATAGAGTCCCTGTTTTTGATAGGCTAGCCAGGGAATAATAAAATTTTTTTATCATTTTGATTTTAATCTCAACTTTCCCACAATTATGGAGATCTGGACCACTCAATAAACATTTTTGTGCCTTATGGTATTTATCTGAGTCTTATATTTCATTGCAGGAACAGAACTGGAATCCATTCATTCATTCACTCATTCATTCATCCAACAAATTCTCTTGAAACTTAAAATATGCTGGGTTCTATATTAGCCAGAGGGGTACAATGACAAATGAGATGGGAAAAGTCCCCGCTTTCATTCTAGTGTAACAGAAAAACAAACAGGAAAATAAATGATAAATAAGATCATTTCAAATGCTGAAAAAGTCCTTTTAAAAAATAAGACAAAAGAATACAATGTGAATGGATATAAAAGGATGACAAAGTTAGGGACTCAGGGAACAATTTTTGTTGTTGAAATGAAGTCTGAGCTGAAACTTGAACAACGAGAAAGAATCAGCCAAATACAGATCAAGAGGGAATGATGTTCCATGAAGAGGGACAGTAAATGCAAAAGCCCTGACATAAAAATAGAGTGGTTAGAGGGCAGTGAGTGAGAGGAAAAAGGGCCACTCAGAGGTGTGAGCAGCAGCGAGATCATGTAGGCCTGGTAGTTCATGACAAGGCATTTCGAATTTATTCTAAATGAAGTGCAAATCCTGTGATCAAATGTAATTTTGAAAAGATCATTTGGGTTTGTCCATAGAGAGCAAAGTGACGTCATTTTATGGATGGTTTCTACAACACATGGCTTGGGAGATGTCTACCAATAGTTATATATATATATATTTGATGAAATGTTTGCATTTGAGGTTGCTGGAAGATAAAATTAAAAAAGTCTCACTAATAGTTATTCCTCATAACCATTTAGGACCAATCTACACCAACTGTTATTTTCCTACATGGGCACATTTAAAACAGAGCAGTGCTCAGCATACTCACCAGTGGTTCAACACCCCAAAATACTCCGTTATGGGAACACTGATAAAGAGATTTGGAAGGCAGCTCTGTAAAACTTTTCCATCCTTTTCAAAACCCTTCTGTAACTATAGAACTAAAACATCACACAGGAGGCTGGGACAGAAAAGAAGGGGGTGACTGTTCTAGCCCTTACACAGGGGGAACAGAATCACTTTCTAGAGTTTGTTTTTACACTTCTCCATCTCTCACAGAACAACAGGGGCCATTTTCTTCTGCTAATGAGGTGACCCTGCTGAGAGTAGTCCCAGCAATAATGAAAAATAATATCTCTGGCAGAACACAGTACAAAATAATTGTTTTCTGTGTCAATATCAGTAGCCTGGTTCGTAAGTTAGGGATTTCAGTTACTTTTCCTACTACTTGAAAGTGAGGCCAAATGAGAAAGCACCGTGGCTATTGGCCAAGGCAGTGAAACTGAGTTTTTCAAGTGTGTAGACTTTTGTTTGACTCCTTGCTCTGCCCTTTCCTTAACCATGAGAACTTGGTCAAACCACTGCACTTCCCAAAGCATCAGTTTTCTCATCCGTGTAAGGAGATAGAGAGACTCACTTCCATACAGTTGTGAAAAGGAGAAAGGAGATTTATAAAATGCTGGTACATAGCAAGCTATCAATAAATGGCAACTATATTAATATCATTATCTTGCACATTATAAGTACACTGAGACGCTGGGCTCTTAATGGCTTTTATTTGTAGAGTCAAGGCAACCTATTATTTAATGAGTGACCTTAGGACATTTGTTTGAATTTCAGATTCCCTAGTAATTATAGAGATAAGAAGCCCAGTTTTTCTGAGAAACCATGAGCAATGCACTCTTCTAAGTATACTTTCTCACACTCTCCATTTAAAGAGGTTTATTTCCTGGCCTTTGTGGATTCTGGCAAAGATATAGTGGTGGGTTTCAGAAGCAAATGTCCAAGACCAGAGTGAAACTTGATGCTAAAACGGTTTGTCAACCAGAGCCAGTGTCACTTCTAAAATGGGTATTTGGAAATGGGGCAGGGGATGTGTTCTTCGATTATCATAATGATCAGGGGGTTTTGTGGCACTTAGTGAGTGAAGGCTAAGGTTACTCACTTACTCAATGAGACCTGCTTGCCCCATTGGTTTCAGTAGCCTTAGCAACTGCAACTAGGCCAAGCTAGTGCTTCTACTATGGGACATGCTCATGTCCTATGACCTCCTAGTTTTGTTGTTGATTTTTTGTGTTTGGGTTTTTGGTATTGTTGTGTTCTTTTTTGTAATTTTAAAGAACATATATTTTCCAATGGAGAGACTTCCCTGACCTGAGAGAATAGGGGTTGGGAGAGTTTCATTGTGGGGAAAATTAAGCGAAGACATGAACAGTGCAGAGGAAGGGGAGGCTGTCTCAGATACTGAAGTGCTCCTCCCGCCAGGAAGCCATCTCACTGTTGCTCAAGACACCGTTTAAAGAGGTTATTTATTCCAGCATTTCCCGACGAGGAAACTAAGTCTCAGAGTTGAGGAGTGATATTTTAAAGTTACCAAAAATGTTGAAGCTGAAATCTGATTTCACCCTCTTGGCAGTAAAGCTCACAATGTGAGAGTTTTGCATTATTCAACTCTGAGTGGTGCCATTCACATCTTGTTGACTGACTGTAGATCTGGATTGTCACTAGAGCAATTTGTGGCTGATGGTGGCTTGAAGAAAGGATGACTTTTTCTATTTTTCACAAGGTCACCCTTTAGACCAGAGGTGGGGTTGCCCATTTTTTCCAGCAGTTGTCCAACTTTTATAAAAGATGAGAGTCCATACTCAAGTATGTTAAAAAGGAAAGAACTTTTCTTGGTTTTCTAGTACATGGCCCCGAAGTACATGGCTCCTAATTGTGTAACGATATGTCTAAACATAACCTACTTGATGTGTCTATAGTTGGGAAACCTCAGAAACATTGCCAGAAACCATGTGTAAATCTTAATTTCCCCAGTAAACAGCAACTGGGTTGATTTTTCCAGTCTTAAAAAAATTATTTTCCTGCTTTACAGATGACAGTGACAGCCAAAAAGGATCATGATGTTGTGATTAATTGAAAAAAAATGATAATTTAAATTGTTTTTATGCTATAGATAATAGTTAATAGAAAAAAAACTGCCAA